ATCATGGTTGTAAATCCTTTGGGTCAGATTGCCTTAGTGTAAAGCAAACACTTTTTGACATTTGGTATGTTCAGTAAAGCAATATATTCTTCGAGGGTATGGTTCATGTCTACTTTTCCAAAAGTTAAAGCAACAGTAAGTAATATTCCAACATTCAACTAAAGCTCGAACAACTTCTGCATCTATCGGTACCCTCAGTAACTCTACTATGTCTCCGTAAGCTTATCTGAATAGCATTTTCTCAGTCTCATCTCAATTAGCCCAGATTCTTTATAACTCGGCCCAATATGCTTGCTTGATACTAATAATAACCTTATCTGGCATCACAGATTCTTCACCAGTTACAATACTATCCCTAAATCGTGCTTATCCATATTCTGACCACGTCTTAACATTTATTACATTCTCGATCCTATCAGAAGACATTGTTGCCTTAATCCCTTTTTACAATAACCAAATGATTCGGAAATTAATATCTTCAATGTAATATTATGAAATGATAATGAAAATGATACATGTAAATAAGAAACAAAATAGATAAGTCAATAACGCTTAATTAATTCAAATAATTCAAATAATAATTAATATTGACTGGTAAAATTTAAAGAATTTAAAAAAATAATACATGTTAATTATGGATATTAAACACATAAAATAAAATTAAAATTCTAACAATATGCATTCTAATTCTCTTAAGTTACCCACATGGCTTTAGCGGGGTAAGTTTACTAAATTCTTTACATGAGGTTGGGTTCTAGCCAAGGTTCCCAAGCCATTTTTACAATCAGCTAAGGTTGACCCTGATTCTGGCTCAATATAGACTTGCGAATCAAATTCAGCTTAGGGGATCACACCACTAAAAGCGTATATCGGAACTGATATCCGGATAAGAAACTTAGGATGCTTTCCATAGGTACTTTATCAGACTCACACAAGGAAACCCAATGCTCCTCATGAGGTGTGATGTTTCTCCCTACTTAGGTAAATCGGGATTGAGCTCAGGTTTAGAGCTATGATATGAAACAATCCTAAATATTCACCGAAGTGTAAGTATTAAAGAGAGAGAAAATCTTTTTCTTTTTTCTTTTGAAATAACATAATGAACTGTAAATTAAATAATCGAACTCATAATTTCAAAATCCTAAATATAGGGTAACCTGCTCGTGGCTCGACTCTCAAGTTGTTAAAAAACAAAATGTCCCAAGCATAGTCGCCAAGCTGTCGACACCGTTTTTTGGGCGGACAGGCAAAAACTCATACTGACTTGGGGGTTTTCTTTGAAAAGATTTTGAAATGCGAGGAGTCACCACCAATCATTTTAAGGTGCAATCGGGACACCATAAAAGCCAGATGATTTTAATAAAACATTTTATTTTTATCAAAATACCAAGTTTAGGGTGTATAAAAACCAAAAAATAGGTTCAAGAGTCGGTTACATGTGGGGAAGGATTAGCACCCTCACAACGCCCAAAAATTGGTACCTAGTTGATTACCATATATTTAGAATTGAAAATTTTGAGTTCGAACTTTATCTAATTTAAAAATTATTAAGGATGCAAAGTTGACAAGGGTATTTGTTTATTAAAGCCCATAGCATTCACCCCTAGTATGAATGAGGGAGATCAACTATTGCGCCCAATAACTGGTCACCCCTAGTATGAATGCGGGAGATCAGCTATTGCACCTAATAACTGGATATTACCTTGATTTTAGAAATCATGATGTAGTCTTGAAAAGGATGTCGACCAATTTCAGGAATCACTAGTAGTTACCCCCTGAGCATACTTAAGGGGGATATACTATTGACTCCCTAATAAGTGAACATTGCCTTAGGTTTTAAAATAATATGCAATCAAACAATTTATTATTAATCCTAATTAACTAAGGGTAGATTAAGGCTTTTTCTATCTTAAAGTGTCAAATTATGAAAATTGAAGAACCTAGAGGCATAAACCTAAAAATGTAGGTTTAATATTAATCCTATTTGATTTTAATCAATTATTGAATCAAATAATTGAGATGGTCCCTTGAGCATTTAGGCGAGGGCCAACTCGGATTATTCCCTAAATTAAAAAGACTATATTGAAATCTAGCTAAAAGTGGAGGCTCTATTTAACCTATATAATTATATTAATTTAAAATCTAATTGAAGTTTTAAGGACAAAAATGCAAAAGAACTAAAATCCAAAGTTCTAAAAATCTAAAGTTCAAAGACCTAAATCAATAATTCCTAAAAATTAAGGATTAATCAAAATTCTAATAATTATCTAAATTAACATATTGGAAATCAAGGGATTAAATTAAAATAGTTTTTAAAATTAGTCGATGATTGACAATTAAGAGTTCGAAAATAGTTTTTAAAATTAGTCGATGATTGACAAATTAAGAGTTCGAACAATCAACAAGAGTAATTGGGTATCTTATGCGAAAACCGAATTGAATTGCTCCCTAATTAAAACTAAGGTGACATCCTAATTATAGATCCATTTTGGTTACCAATTTAATCTAAGGATAAGTTAAAAAACAATTAAATAAACTAAAATAACAAATCCACTTCAAATAACAATAATCAGCAAAAATAAAAACAATAAGTAAAGTATGTAAGGATTAATTGCATTAATATTAAGTTATAGCGATTAAAAATAAATTAAACATGTTAGAAAGACCAAATTAAAATAAATTAAAAATTAAGAGACTAAATCAAAATAAAATACAAAACAAACTAAAATAAAATAAACACAAAAGTTTAGGGGCTAAACACTAATTATACATTTTTAAAACCTAAAATAAATAATAAAATACAAAATCACCAAAACTAGTCTAGCCAAATTAAAATAAAATTAAAGAGTCACTACATATGACCAAAATGTAAAACACGCTGAACTTAGAGTGACTAAATAGAAATATCTATATAAACATTTAACATACAAGAAAAATGGGTAAATAACAATTTAGTCCTCACAGATGACCAGAATGCAAAAATATGCTAAACTTATAGGGTCTAAATAGAAAATAACCCAATAAATATAACGCATGAAAAAAGGGTAAATACCAATTTCGGTTCTTATATGTGACCAGAATGCAAAAGCGCCCTAAACTTAGAGGGACTAAATAAAAAATAACCCAATAAATGTATAACACGCATGAAAAAGGGTAAATACCAATTTTGGTCCTTATAGGTAACCAAAATGAAAAAAACGCTAAACCTAGGGGACTTAACGTGATTTTACAAAAAAAAAATTATAAAACCTACTTTTCTGATTTTTTTTTACTTCACCCGAAAATCCAATTTTTTTTAAAGCTCTCTACCCTCTCTCCTCTCTCTCTTGCGACCCATTGTTGTCGCCTTACACCACCGCTATGGCCACCATTCCAGCCGCACACACTGCGGTCGCAATTTCTAAACCTAGCCCAAATAACCCAAAAGGCCCGATCTACTATCCTAGATCCCTATTTAGGGTTAAAAACCTCCAAAAAACTACCCTAAACACAAAAAAAAAGGATTGGACGCTCGACCTTCCCTCGCTCTGACCACCATGGAGATGAACCAACCTTTCGGTTCATCATCCCTCTCAGGTAACCGCTCAAACTCTTCTCTCCTTTTTTTTACTGCTTGCTTTGTTTTTATTTTCGAATGAACAAGTAGACAAAAAAAATACCTTGAATTTTTTGTATTGCTTCTAAAGAGCGGGAAGAAAGGATCCCCTTCTCTTACAACTGGTTTGGGTTTTATACCCAGCTTTACAATTTTTTTTAAAAAAAAATTAAAATAAAATCATGACATTGCCTTGTAACTTGTAATTGTTTCCGAGTGGTGTGGCGTGGAGTGTTGGAGCATCAATCTTTTGCTTGGGGCAGAGCACGGAAGGGTATGGAGGCAGCAGCTGAGGAGGCTAGCTAAAGCTAGGTTTAGGTTTTGATTTGGGCCCAGTTTGGGTTTTGTTTGGACTCGGTTTGGGTTTGGTTTGGACCGATTTGCAAATGAGTTTTGTAATATATTTTAAGTAATAATAACAAATAAATAAAAATATAATAATATATATATAAAACGAAAAAATGGTGATTACAATTCACGACAATATGTTTGATAATCCTGATAGTGCAATATAATACCTAGATTTTTCTTGTCATATCAGATGTCAAGGGTCGACAAAATTTTGTATCCCTTAAGGTTTTGATCCTATATACACAACAGATGGAGACTCGATGCATAAGTTGCTTCGATCAACACTCAATCGAAGCTTATTAGAGGAATTGTAAGCCATATTCAACATTCAGAAGTAGCCTAGAAACAACATTCTCACGCGATATAGTGTATGAGGATTATGTAGAATGTGAACCTTGTCTGTCATAACCTTTAGAAAATAATGTATTATTAGTCATCAAGTTTTTCAATGAAAAAGTTATGCAAAAATACCTTGTATGAATATTTTAGAGGAATTTCTATATCACAGTTTCCAAGGTAGGTCAATGTTAGTTTAAGGAAATATATTTTTAAAATTTTATGATTTTTAGGGGCTTTAAATATTTAGGACTTAGATTTGTTTGTTATTATGATTTTGAAGAATTATTAAGTTTTATTTTAGATTTAATAGAAACATCCAAACAGAGTGAAAGGTAAAAATTTATATATATATATATATATATATATATATATATATATATATATATATAGAGGGAGAGAGAGATAAGATCTTGTTACATACAGGGGAAGGAGCTAGAAAATCAAATTTGGGGTGTCCAAATTTAGAAATTATATGGAAAAAAATTAAGTGGGAAAATTGAATTTTAAAATTTTATTGTTAATTTTTTTTAATACGGGTTAATTTCTAAATGGTGTCAAAACATTTTAAAAGGGGAGTCATTTTGTCTTAATATTATATATATAATTTATATGGTTCAAAAGAAAGTTTAGAAACTTTTGGGATGTAAATTGACACCCCCTAATGTATGCTGGCTCCCCAATGGTTACACGATGTAAAACTCTTTTAGTTTTATATAAATTTAGGACCGTTGAATGAATGAAAATAGATGATTGGGATTAACAATAGAAGATGATTGAGATTAACAGTAGAAGATGATAAGATATTCACTAGAAAAAAGAAACCAATGATATACATTGTGCATCATTGGATGTGATGATTAATAATTTTATAGAGATTGTAGACCTTGGTTATCCAATGATAATTGGACAAATGTAAGTCTCATCACACATACAAAGTGCGTATGTTTTGATGGCATATATTTCTAGTTCGCATGCTTTGAACATAAAATAAAGCAAGAAATAACTCAAGCAACCTAGGTTTTGAAATGAAGTTTTAGGGTGGACTCTAATTCCTTGCAGCATCCCGGTTTAGGTTAAAAAAATGTACTTGAGTTCTCCTTGCTGGTACCCCTTGGGTTTGTCAAAGCCTCGGTCCTAAGCCCATTACAAGCTCATATGGACTAAGTTAAACTCGAGATGATACATTCCCTTATGTCTGTACGGAGAATAAATTCAGACGAAGACATAAGGTATATGAATCTCAAAGGTTACTGCTAAGCCTATACGAAGAAAAATTCCATGAATGTGTCGCTTTCACCTCCACTTATGAAAAGGGTTTGGAGCTCAGGTATAGATCCTGAGATGAATTTTTTAAAAGTTGAAATCATTAAAAAAATCAGTACAACTTTATTTTGAAAAATAATCAAAGGTAAATAATAAGGATCGAAAAGAAATTAAAATTTAAACATACAATTTTCACTTAAGAAGACAACCAGAAATTAATTTTGGCCTTACTCACTTACCTTTCCCCAACGAAGTCGCCAAGCTATCGTGATTGTTCCTCAGGTGGGCCTGAATTGGGTTTCGACTTGATTTCGATGTGATGGAGCTGCCACCGGTCATTTATTTTAAAATTAGGTTGATTGGACACCTCAATTTACCATATTACCTGATTTGCATTTACCATAAATAAATTGGATTCAGGAGTCGATTACAGTAAATGAATGATTAGCACACTTGTATTGCCCTTTCAGTACTAGTTTAATTTTCCGGTTGTCTCAATTGCGAAAATTAAAAGCTAAATTAAAATTTAAAATTTTGATTCGAATTACTTACCTTTGACCGATTAAAATTGACTCTAAAAGAATAAAAAAAATGTTAAATAACAGAATAAAATAAAAAAACTAGCATTAGGGTTAAAATAAAGTAACTAAATAATTAAAATAAAATAAATATTAAAGAAATAAAAGAAATTTTAAATTAATTGAATTAAATTAAAAAGAAAAAAGATCAAATTAAATTAATTGAAAGCTGCTGCAATGAGAAAAAACAAAGGTTGGGGGTTAAATTGAAAAGATTATAAAAAATAAACAAGGACTAAATTGAATTAATTCAAAATCTCATAGCCAATTTACAACAGGTGACCAAAACAAATTACACTTCAAAGTTAGAGGGACTGTGAAAATAATTAAATTATCTGATATTTGCACTTTAGTCCCCCGATTATAAAGACCCCTAAAGCAAAAAAAATCATTTTAAACACATTCTAAAAACCAAAAAAAAAAAAAAACTCTCTCAAACTCTCTACCCTTTAAAACCAACCGGCTTATAACCGGCCACCCTCCCCGACGAGACACCACCGCTCAGACCGCTACTCTGGCCACTGCCTCCGGTGGTCGAAAACCTAAAGGCCTACCCCAAAGTTTCATTTTAACGTCCCAAACCCAAAACTAACCTCCAAACGGCCAAAACACCCTTACCGAAGTATATCTAAGAAAAACTCTCGGGACTTACTTTGTTCGACGGAGAATGATGGTTTTCCTCCTTTTCAAACTGAGACCAACGCTCGACCTTGATGTCTTTTATATTTTTAGTGTTTTCCCTTGTGATTTGCTTGATTGCCTTGTGATATTTGCTGCTCGATATTTCTGGTATTCTTTTGTTTGTGTTGCTTCGATCTTTGCTGCTGTGTTATTCGGGATTTCCGATTTCTTGTTGTTGTGTGGTTCGATGATTGGTGGGGTTTATAACCCTTCCGACAATGGTTTTTGAGCATTTCAAGGTATTTCTAAGTATTTTAGGGTTGTTTATCGGTTGTTCATATTTGACCGGAGATATCAGATGGTTCAGTCTGAGTTGCTACGATCTTCGGGGTTGTTTTTCGATTATTCGTGGTTCGTGTTTAACCAAAGATCTCGGATGGTCCAATCCAAGTTGCTTCGATTTTTTTGCATTTTAAACGTCGAAATCTCAGCGACGTATAATCTCATCGGCGCGTGATTCCCACGCACTATCATCGGTGGCTCTCGAGCTTCTGGAACCTTCTGGGCTTTGATTTTGACGTTGAATTGGTTTGCAGATCCAATGGTTCAGGATCGGTTATGGTGTGATGACATTTTTGGGGTTCAAAACCCTAACTGTTATGCAATCTGGGTCGTTGATCGATGTCAGACGTGGCACATTTACTTAAATTTGAAACATAGTTTGCTGGGTCAGACGAACTTGGGCTTTTTCTTGACTCTTAGTCGGGTCGGCTTGTTGGTTCAGGCATGCCTACCTGGTTGGGCTCCCTCATACCCTCATTCTGGACTTGGATTTGGACCTTGGACTCCGTGTTGGATCGAATAAAACAAAAAAAAAAAGTTAAATAAAAATATAATAAATAATATACAATATAATAAATAATTTATATATATAATATAATACTATATAATATATATAATATATATACAATATAATATATAATCATATATTCTATATTTTCAAAAACTATAAATATGTTTTCAACAATTATATTATATATGCTTTCAAAAAACCGTTTTTAAAACTATATATTATATGCTTTCAAAAACCGTCTTTTAAAATCTATATATTATATGTTTTCAAAACTATTTAAAAATTATATATTATATGTTATCAAAAATATTTCTGAAAACTATACTATATATCTTCAAAAACTATATATATCATATATACTAAATAAGCCCTTTGAAGTCCCCAACGAAAATGGGTGTCCACATCTAGAAATATTTTTTAATTAATCTTTAACATAAATATAGTAATTTTTTTAAAAAAAAAGCATAAAAAACTAAAGCATCTTTCTTAAAAACAAACTTTATTTATGTTAGTACAACATCACTTATGTCACTTTTACGTTAGTACTGGTAAAAAAGAAAAGGCTAAAAGAACGTGATAAAGCAATGAAAAGAACATTTGTCAAAATGTAAATCTTAAAATTTCAAAGAAAGCATTCGTAAGCATTTTCCAAATGATAAGAGGGTCAAACAACGACGGCCATTGAAAAAAGGAAAAATTTCCAGGCTTATTCACACTCAAAGCCAAACTCAACAAGGAATAACAATGGATATATTTAATCTTCATATATAAATTTATTATCCATTTTAATTTTGATATATATTATCTAATAAATTATTTAAGTTATAAAATTTAAATATTTAACGAAAATTCAAATCCAAGTTGAATTTTAGCTTTAAGCATAACGACAAAGATATAGTTAATGCTTAACCAAATAGTTACTTTTACTACCAATAACTAATTGGTTTGGTAGGATGAGGTATTAAATTCTTTAAATAAGACCAGAGATTCAAAAGCGAATGGAGCAAACTGAGTTGGGAGAGTCGCCTGATCTGAGTTATTCGGTTAATAGATCCGTACTAGTGATTAATTTAAAAAATAGTTACTTTGACTCTTATTTTCTTTTGAAGTATTTGGGCCCTTAATATTTTATTTTGAGGTAAAAGAGTTCCTATGTTGATTGGAATTATTAGTCAACAAATGCTCAAACGATACAAAATAAGTCTTTTTACTTTAAAATGAAATATTAATAGTCAAAATGCTCCAAAAAAAATGTTAAAATAAAAGTGATTAGTTAGTCAAATGTTAAGAATTTTTTATCTTAAAATGAAATGTTGAGGATTAAAATTTTCTAAAAATGAATATAGACCAAGATAACTATTTAATTAAATATTAAGAATATTTTTTAATATTATATTTTAAATTTAATTTGAATAATAAATAAACTTATATTTTAAAATAATTATATGGACTTGAATTTAAATATTATAAAATTCCTGCGTGAGCGTTTTCTTCCATCTTTTTTTTTTTGTCTAGGCCAATCGTTCTTCTTCATCTAAATTGGTCGGCACTTGATGTTGGTAGTTGATCGTAAATATAAAGTAAAGTATATAAATAATTTATTGATTATAGAGTATTAATTTGTTTAATTTTTCAATTATTAAAAATTATAAAATAAATCTTTAGTTATAGGATGTTATTTTGTTAAATCCTCAAACTATTGAAAGTTATAAAATTGTCACTCGACTATTTATATGTTCTAAATTCGTCATTTTTGGTTAGTCTAAGTTTGAAGTTAACCTACTAATTGAGATATGATAAAATCATATTTTTAATGATGTCGATTGGCATCGTTGTTACTTTCAAGTACTAACTCGACGACATAATGTAAACAGATATTTGAATCACAAAATAAAACTCAAACAGTTCTAGTATCAAAATTTATTATATTACAGTGAATATATTAACGTACAACTTAAACGATCATCAATATTTTAATAAAAAATAACGAGTTTAAAATATATGAACAATCAAATAATTAATTTGTAACTATTAATAATTATGAGACTCAACAAAATAATATCTTATAATCGATAAATTATTTTATAATTTTCAATTAATAATAAACTAAACAAAATAATATTTTATAAAAAAATTATTTGTGTATTTTACTCAAAAGTATATTATAAAACAACAAATATTTATCCCCCGACCATCTTTAAATCATGTGACAGTTGATGGGAATTCCAGTCAAGGATCCGCACGTTATGTTGCCAGTACACAAATAAAAGTTAAAACAGTCGGCAATGTTAATTCTTTGTCATAAGCTAAAGGTACTGTTTTGGAAACGACTTGTTTCTCTTATTTTTGGAGATATTTAAGAAATGGTAGTGTAATATAAGATTAAAAAAATATATTATTAAAAATATTGATATTTTTTTAATATTTTGAATATAGTATTGCTTAAAATATTATTTTTTATAAAAATATTAATATCTAACACTACTTAAAATGATATTTTTTTATCATAAATATTAATATCAAAAATATTTATTTTAAGTAACGAAATTAATATTTAAAAAAATTAATATTTTAGAAAATATTCTACTAAAAAAATTAAAAAATATTAAATTTTTGATAAGGTATTTTCTTAACCAATGGTGCAGCATAAATATCCCTTATTCTTCGTCGCTGTATGAATTCTTTTTGCCGACAGATGTTGTCAACTTCAAGTGGATTACGTGGTGGGCATTCCACCCGTTAGATTCGATCAGCAAAGGAGAACTACGACTGTGGAATGAGGATCATCATCCAGCCAACCACGAGAGTAGTGGAAAACTATTAAAGAGACAACAAGAGGTGTTGGTGTAAGAGCAGAGGGCCCACGATTAGAAAGATAAGGTGACACACGTGTGGGACAAGCCGCCGGCAAAATAACTGACGCAGAGGAAATAGGGAAATGGGATGACGAGCATGGTGGTGGCTGCTGTCGAAAACTTATCGATGATGACTTTTGTGTCAAAATTCTATAATTGCTTTCTCGAGATTTTCAATGCTTTATCAAATCCAAGGATGATTGGATTCACAGTTATTACTTATTATGCAGTCGGTCTCAGTTGCCTTTAGTTTTAGGATGATTATCCGATTATAAGCGTTGTTTTATTTTTAGTTTTTTAATTATTAAAAATTATAAAATAATTAAATAATTATTTATATATTTTAAATTTATTTTTTATTTTTAGAAATTGATATTTATTTGAGATGGACATTAATTTATTAATTAATATATGGTAAAATAATATTTTAATAATATCTATTGACATTATACTTGCTTTTTAAACACTACCTCGATAACATAATGTAAACGGAGAGTCAATTCATAAAATACAACTGAAACGATTCTAGGATTATGTTTTATTATATCTCAGTCAACAAGTTAACGTC